GAAGTATGGATGACTGAACATTTTGAATCTGTATTTGAACATCATTTGAACATCTGTTGAACATCAGCAGGCATTCAGACATTGTAATTTCTCAGAATGTGACACAGCTTCTATATGAGGCGTTTTGTTAGTCAGAGCATTTACCAAGTGTTCTGCACTATGCACCTACTGTATGGTCATAGAAATAGCTGAGAGAGAAGGGATTTTCTTGCTTGCAACTTTTTGCTAACATCTCTCCCTCCCCCAGGGAGTAACAAATGACCTCATTGTTTCTCACTCCTGTCCTGCTGCTTCAGAGATGCTGGCAACACTGTTCTTTCACATTAATTAAAACAATTACATTTAACTCAGAAGAAGAGATCCATACTCAGCTTGAAATTTGCTGCGTTGAAGATCTGAGGACACCTCTGTATTTAAAACTTTGCCTTCTTTTCCTAGCTATATTTGCTGGTTTGCTAAAAATCTCTACAGATGTTCCCGAGCTTTTCCAACAAGTTTAAGGCACTTTATTCAAAAGATATTGGAAAGAAATAACTGCTGTCTTTGCTACTGAGTTGATGTAGTGGGAAAGAGTGCAAGAATGTTAGAAATGAGAAAACAGTGCAAGATGTTTCTGAGTATGTTGGTCTTGTCATAAGTGAGTCCACTGAACAAAGGTAGATTCTTGTCTGAATTTGAAATGTTATAAATCTACTCCCTCACATCATGGCTGATGACGTGTGGAGCCTTCTAGACCTGGTGATGCTGGCCATATTGCTGGTTATGCTGTGGCCAGGAAATAGCCAGCTGAGGAACAGCTGGAAGCAGTTAAGAGTAAAATACTGCATGTAAGAACGTGTGCCTTTCATGTCCTGTAACTATTACATCCATATAATAGTTTCAGTTAAGTTTGGTTCAAACACTATTAAGGAAAATGAGTTTAATTTTTCCCACTATCTCACCTATTATGTTTTCTGTCAGGTAAGTTATCTTAAGTTCTCCCATTTGAAATCCTACTTCCTGCTCCCATTTACCCTCCTACTGGGCAAAAAGTTTTGTTTTCCTTTCTGAAATACATGAATAGAGAGAAAGCATTATCCTCAGTTTCATTCTATAGAATTTGGATAATAGGAGATAGCAAGGGAGTTCTTCTGTACAAGAAAAGGAAAAGATAGGTGAGGCTTTCTAGCAGCAGTAGAATTTTTTTGTACTATTAGTAGTTGAAATCTGGAGAGAAGTATGCAGGGTTTTAACATGCATGTTTGCCAGTCCCAGAACTTGGGTGAAATTGTGGTTAGAAATTAATTGAAGCCAGCCAAGTCAAGAGAGGATTTGGATTCAGTCTATTCACTTAGTATACTAAAGCAGATCTAAACAAAAAGGCTACAAAGGAAACAAACATGAGCCTGTTCCAGCTGCCTCCTCTGTCTGAAGATATAGGTCCTCTTTGTGCTGCTGGTGCAGATCTAAAGAAAAGAAAACAAACAGGATGTTCACAGCACAAGGCTGAGCTAGGATTCTTTTAAATATCAGAGGTTTGTTGCCAAGGGTGAAGTTTGCAGTTCAAGTACTAACCCAGAAGATTCTTTGTAAGCTTGATACCAGGTTCCCTTCAGCTGTCATGATTTTATAAACAGATTTACCTGTGTGCAGAGCCCTGAGAACACTTCTTTCTACCTAGTCTGTGCATACTACCTGCACCTTCTTTTATCTCCATATCCATGTACCATCTCTGGCTTACAATTGAGATAGTATAGAGCTCTTCTAGGTGGCAGTAGTTCTGAAGGTCTATATTTTTAGAGTCTCCGTACAGTATCCAGATCTATTTCCGAGACTCACTGACACTGCAAAAACGCAAGTAATAAATATCTCTACTAATTGCTGGCACTGGGCTGCCTTTCCGCTTTTTTTTAATACATCTCTGCCACCTAGTGGGCAATTTTTTTGATTACACGTTTTCTTCAAAATAGGTAACAAAGCTCAAAAATTTTGGCTCAGGAGAAACACAGTTCAAATTTGGAGAGGTGTGAAGTTCACACTTTAGAAGCCCCACGTGGATCACAGCACCTTCTAAGCCATTCCTCTGCTACCCTGAGCCAGCCCTCTCCTTTGCAATGCTGAGGTAACAGGAATTGTGGTCACAAAAAGTCACGTGCATAACTGATGGCTTTGGGCTGGAGACATCAATCTCCAGAAGATAAGAAACAAAGTATGAATATTGTAACAGCAAACAGCCATACTGGCAGGAGATGCAGCATAGCCCACATGCCTACTCTCAGTATTTATTACTGAGGTATTAAAATGTCATGTGTGTACACCAAGTACACGAAATGCAAAAGAAGCCTCTTCTTAATGGATATCATAGAATGGCTTGAGTTGGAAAGGACCTTGAAGATCATCCAGTTCCAACTCCTTTGTCATGGGCAGGGACACCTCTCACTAGACCAGGCAGGCCAGGGCCCCATCCAGCCTGGTCTTGAACAGCTTCAAGGATGGGGCCTCACAGCTTCTCCAAGCAGCCCATGCCAGAGCCTCAGCCCCCTCATGATGAAGGATTTCTTTCTAACATTTAACCTAAACCTCTCCTCTTTTAGTTTAAAACTGTTACCTCTTGTCCTATCACTACATGTCCTTGCAAAAAAGTCTTTCTCCATCTTTCTTGTAAGCCTCCTATATATAAATACTGGAAGGCCGCAATGAGGTCTTCCCAGAGCCTTCTCTTCTCCAGGCTGAACAACCTTGATTCTCTCAGCCTCTCTTCATAGGAGAAGTACTCCAGCCCTCTGATCATCTTCATGGCCTCCTCTGGACCTGCTCTAACAGGTCCATGTCCTTCCTGTGCTGGGATATATGCTGTTAATAGCGACACCATTAATGACCAAACTCTACCCATGCCAGTTAGTGGACCATCACAGAGGAAGAATCCATCTACAGAAAAAACAGATCTATAAGATGAACATCAAATAATTTATAAAATATCTGCTTAAGGGTTCTTTTTGAAAGGATGGCCAATTTTAATGGAGAGATTATTTTTACAGAGAAGTAAGTATTCTTTTGTGTTAAGTATTTTGGCTACTAAAATTTCTGGGATAGGCAATAATATTTAGCATGCAGATTGGGAAGCTCTGTCTTGATCAGGGATAGCATAGATTTGAAGTGGATTAAGCCTATTGCATTGCCATGCACATAAGAGGGAACAGGAAGCTCAGGAAGAAAAGAAGCAAGGAAACTTTTCCTGAGGATGATAATGGCTGAGTTGTTTAGTAATTACTCCAAGAGAGTATGAAACTGGTGCTTAGGACATGCTAGTGATTATGTTCATTTTAGTACCAACAAGGATGGATGGGAAGAGGTCACTGCTGCCCTGCAAACAGTATGTGGTACTGCAGAAATGGTATGCCCATCCCTTAATTGAAAAGAAGAAGACAAAAAGATTTCCAAAAGCATTTGCATCCAGATTTCCTCAGCTGAGGAATGCAACTCAATGACAAAACCTTGAGACAAACGGATTAAAACCTAGGTGGAGAGAATAGTCTTCTGCTAAGAGTTCACAGTACTGTATTTTATAAAGTCCTTTTCCAGTTTGCGAATATCATCACTGTGTTCACAGCTGTGATTTTGCATGGAACAACTGGATTTTCCTTTGACATATATGAGCAAAGCCTTATAATTCACTGGCAGAACAAGGAAACCATATTTTAATCAACTCTTCAAGTGGTATCCAGTAATAAATAAATGCCTTAAGAAGTCAGGAGCAGTTTATTTCTTATATCCAGTAACTGAAAGGATTCTAGAACTATCAGTCATTTCTACAATCCCACTGTTTTCATTGTACATTTCTGGGTGGGTGCTGGGGCATAATTTTGATGTAAGAATAAACGTTGCCATGTGATGAGTGACCAGAACAAACAGAGCATAATTTTCTCCATAAGGGTGCATTAAAAATTGAACATATGCTGTGGATAGCAACATACACTTCCTTTGTTGTGCTAAAAGAGGCATTACTGCCACACACTCTCAGTTCAGAGGCAGGCAGAATGCATCCAAAACTGCATGTAGGAGCTGTGTGCTGCCATATCCAGGGAGAGCAAACTGGGCTATTGGCAGCAGAAGTTATTGCAGCATTATGTGGGTTTTAACATGTAGAAGAATATTTGCAGGTGTCTGAATTAGGGCAGGAAGGGCAGTAGAAGATAGAATGTGGACAAATGTATGGATTGTGAATACAAATAATAAAACTAGAGAACAACTTCACATTTGTGTACCCTGCAACTTTCCAAACTGTGAGGTAGCTTTCATATTCAGATGATCAAATATTCTATATGTGTAACAACATGTAGCTTAAATGTAGCTTAAACGACAAATGAAAACAGCCATCTTTCAAGTAAAATTAACTGAAATAAAATATAAATTAATTTACTTCTCTTTATGCAGAAAAGAACAATATTGATTGGAAGGAAAACAAAACACATTAAGGAAGTGATGCTTGCTCAGTAAAAAATGTGTATTTTGGATGTAAAGTGCTTTCTCTGCAAATAACCTACTGGACAAAAGTAAACATATTTAAATGTAGAAATTGAGTGTGCATATAAAATGAAAGATAAAAAATCTTCCTCAAAATTTGGAACTGAAAGTTCCAGTAGTTGGATAAATGTTCTCTAGTTCTATTGAAATTATTTCATTATTTTATTATCTGTGCATTAACAAAAATAATTCAAGATTTGGAATTTGCATTAGAACACTCATGTTTACAAACTTCATTCATACCATCAGACAATGATTGTGTGATTAAAGAGAACTAATTTACACCTAATTTGCCATAGCAGGGACTCACTGACAATTGTGCACAATTTGTAGCCACAAATCTTTTACTCAATATACAGTAAGTAATAAACTTTGGAATAATGCACATTGCTTATGGATTACGTATTTATGATTGAGATGGAATATTAATTGTTGGCTTCTGCATTTTTCACATGGTTATAAGGAAAGCGAGGATGGACTGAACTTCTTTTACTTACGATGAAAGGGTACACTTGGAATGGTCAGGATTGTCCAAGCAGAGTAACAGCATTACAGGCCTGTGAAGAGACGGTTTTGTTTTCCATCTTTCAGATTGAAAACTAAGGAAAACTAATGAAGAAACCAAACTCAACAGCACTACCATGTCTGAAGATTCCCTACAGCGATACTCTGAACTGGAGCTGTAAATACTATTGTTACTAAATAGTAATTCTACAGATATTCAACAGATTTAAACTACTGCTTAGATTTTCAATCCAGATAAACATTTTACAGCAAACTGGAATACGAGGCCATCTTCTGTGTCTAAACCTGGATAAGTACAATGCTGCACTTACTTATGCAATCATACAATAAGATGTAGTACTTTGCTGAATTCATTGCTCTGAAATGCCAAGTCTAAAAAATGTGGCATCAGCTCTCTAAGAAACAAGTTTCTTACCGGAGTCACAACTTCAGAGGCACTTATTTGAAGCGAAGCAATAATTTAAAGTAGATCAGTTAGATTAATTGCTTCTGCAAATCCACTGCATTTATGAAGGATTTTCACTTACTTGTAATCGTCAGTGCAGACGACATCATAACCAAGGGCTTTCAGCCTGTCTTCTAATATCTGTACAGTATTATATCCACAGGAATCTCTGTGAGAAAGAAGTTGAATATTATTGCAAATATTTTATTTTCTATTTTCCTTTGAACTATTATCTAGTTCCCATTGAACTTGATGGAATTTGTAAAGGAAATTCCCATTATTTGTCTCTTCTGTGTTCCTTAAAACACATAGAAAACTGATGTAGTTTGCTATTTACAATCCTTCATTTGCTTACAGATGTTTAGCATTTTACACACTCAGTTTGCAGAGACTTTTGATTGGCTTCAACCTGTGTAGCATTTGCAGATTCTATTAACCAGAAATGTTTCAGATTCCATCTACAGAAACAGGAAAAGAGACAATTTTGTAAAATAATAAATAAGGCTTTCATTTTTCATACTCTTTGGCAGCTATTTAGTTGGTGATAAAGTTGACGGTGTCTTTACAGAATAAGCTGGATACAATAAATTAGAATTATTCTTGTAGTTAAAAGTTTGCTTCCCTTCTTGAATACAATGCTAAAACATGAGAACACAGAAAAAATCAGGAATAATCCAAACCACAGTTTTTGTGCCTAGCACTGATTTTTTTTTAATTTGGTTCAATCAACAAAGAAAGCTTGGCAATAGGTAGCAATGAACCTACTGAGATTTCTTAAACTTGCACCAGTGTCAAGTAGTAAGGCCACTATTAGTTACCCATGACTCTAAGAAAATCATATGGTATCAAAAAATCACTCTTCATAAAGTATATAAATATTCCCATGCATCCAGCTAACACAAACTAAAATATAATCTCAGTAGAAATTCAGTGCTTGTTCTAATTCTTCTTTGTGATAAGGGCTACTTCTGCAAAGGTGAACTATACTTTTTTTCCAGATATGATTCTTCGGTTTTAAAAGAAAGGCTCAGAAATGCTAACATAAAACATGCTTATACTTGCTTCTCTTGTCATAGATTCCATAGAACTGCAGTAAAATATTGCTCTGGGTTGGCAAGAGCAAAATGTAATGAAAGAGAAGCAAATGGAAAGAGATGATATGTGAAAGAGAAGGATAAAAAAGGAATTGTTTCAAGAAGAGCATCCTCACACTCCAAAGAATCCAGGTGACATCAGAGATTTAGCTGCTTGTGGTGGATATGGTGACATCTAAGGCTGTTTTTCTTGCCCCATTCAGCCAGAGCACTTTTAAGACCAATTAAGAGCTATCACAGAATCACAGGGGTTGAAAGGGACCTCAAGAGATCATTGAGTCTAACCTCCATAACAAAGCAGGCACTCTAATATAGGTTGCACAGGTAGGCATCCAGACGGGTCTTTAGTATCTCCACAGAAGGAGATATGATACAGTAAATTGCAGGGACTGTGGAGATGGTTGGAGTAAAGCTCACTTCTTCTACTCCTCTACCTTTGATTCATCTATGCATGATGACTGCTTCTCTCCTTCACAGAGAGAGAACTTTCCCCCAGAATTTATAATTAATAGACCACTTAATTTTTCCTTTACCAAAGCCTATCACCTTGCATAACTATTCTGTTACCTACAAAGTCCATTTTCTACCATGTTTCTATTGAAAATCTTTACTTCATTTTTGGCTATTCTTTTTAGACTGTTTTGTTTGTTTGTTAGTTTTTAAATAAAATTAACTGCAGAATGAGACCTGTTAAAGCTCACTCTTTATTCTTGAATTGATTTTAAGTTATGAGAGAAGATGAGCCCAATTGTGGCATTTCCATGCTTCTACTGATTTCCAGAACAGTTAAGATAAGTGAAAATCAAAATAATGTATTTGAAAAGGCAAAAGAAATACTTCACATCAGCATTTAATCTGAAATTCAGTTTGACCCTTTTCCTACTAAAACAGCATGTGCTATGCCATCACTTAAGGTTTGAGATCCACATAAACGTATCTCAAACTAAGTGGACATCAGAACTAACATTAGAATTTATTTTTATTTTGTCTACTTCTGGGAGTGCCAGCTGATGCTTCCTGTGTCAGCAAAAGCATCTAAAATATTTTTAGTTTAATTGCTGAGCAACTGTAGTAAAAGTAAAGGCTAAGGTTAGGTTTTAAAAACAGGCTTAAGAAGAAAGAATGATTTTTGTAGGAAGATACAACTTACATATCTGGTCCTTCAATATCATCCACAACCCAGATGACTATTTGTGAGATCTTGTCTCTCTGGAGATAAGGTATTTCATAATCTGCAAAAAAACTGATTTGAGAAACATTTGTTTAGAACTATGTGGAAAAAAATCCCTCTGCAATAAACAAACCTCTGATCCTGCTGTGGGATATGGCCTTGCTTGCTTTTAGATTTGTATCTTATGATTAGATTCAACAGAGTTGAAAAAATCTGATTCATGTTACGAATGTGCACAAAGTGAAACACATTTAATGTGAAGTTTTGTTTTTATATTCTTCACCTTTGAAGGACTCAACTAAAGAAAGTTATGACTTAGAGGTGAATTAGAGTGAAATGAACTTTAAAATGCAAACACAAAACAAAGAGCATTTGATATTTAGCCAAAAAAAGGATTGTTCTTGTAGACTTCTAGACTGAATACAATTTTGTTTTCCATAAAATTTAACAACAGCCACAAAACAGATTGATTTTTAGATATGAAATCATAGCAATATTAATAACAGATTTGGTCTAAGAATTCATAAGGCCATAAAGGAGAAACTTCTAGCTGTGTTTATCCCTGGCCTAGAATTAATTTTCTACTTTATTGTCTTGTGTAATTTTACTTTGCTACATAATTATCAATTAAAACAGGATAATAATATGGAAACTAAATCCTCCAACATCAAATAGAAAATGCCAAATCCAACAGATTGTTTTAATGTCTGTTTTTTTTTTTTTTTTTTTTTTTTTGTATTTTAAACACTCCAGCAAAGATGTAATGTTTTCTGACCTTATCTTTGCACTCCCACCTCCCCCTCCCATCACAATGCTTGTAATGGCTGTGTCTTCATATAATGTCTGATCCAAGCCCCAGCCCATGTGTGTGATCTGATTTGCCTATCATGAGTCTTCTAAATTTCTGCATCTGAGCAAGCAGCTGCTGCATGGGAAAGAAATCACAAGGCTTGGGATGGTTATTGCAGTCTGCTGGTACTGAGTTGAGACCTATCCATGAAGTTAACATGTTAATTTAAACTTCTGGAGAAGTGGGAGGCTTTTACTAACAGTTACCATCTCTAGAGAAGTCTGGTATGGCTACGACTGACCAGAGATCTCCAGAAACAACAGTAGATTTGCCTGTCCAAGGTGTTCAAGCCTGTCTAAAATAGTGAAAGTATAACCGAAAAACAAGATTACAGTTATTTTTTAACTCTTTTGCTTGTTCATGCATACATGATCAGGAAAAATGCATATTCCTCCAGAACATAATGGGATCTTTAACTAGAGGAGCCAGAAGCCCAGGAAGAACAATATATAACAGACTTCAGTAAACCAGTTATTTAACCATGCAGGAGAAGACCCAAACCACTGTTCGACCTTTTTCTTTACAGACATCAGACCTTCAACACATTATTTTGTGCTCACACAGTTTTCTTACCCTCTGACTGGATAAGCTCCTCCTTCTGCAGAACCATTCAACAAGACATGTATCACCCCAGAACTGTGTTGTGCGTACTGCAATACATAACAGAATATTTCTTTTCCAGAATTTGTTTTACAGATTTTTTCTATGACTTGGTATTGTCTTGCAAGTAATGATGACCAAGGAGACAATTTTACCAGAGCAGAATTGTGAAAATAATGTCAAACTAAAACCCCAAAACCCCAGCCTGCTCATTCCAGTAAAGCTGACAAGAATTATACAGCCAATGCATGAATTCAATCTATCTTCTCAAATTATTTTCTCAAACCTATAAACAACTTCTTCAGATCAGGAACACTCCTGACCTGAATTTTGGCACTCCTTGGGCTTGATCTTTGGAGGTCCTAAAGTCCCTAGTGTGCTTGTTGTGCTTAGTATATGCTTAATATGTATTAACACAGCTAACATAGAATTTGACCATGTTAGCTAGATGGGATGAAAGTCAGGCTCCCTCTGCTAAACACCATTCCCAGCCTAGAAAAGCCTCTTTGTACCCGAGGAAATAATTTAGCACAGTATGAGACTCAAATCTGTTTTGACCCAACAATGCTTTCCTAAACCATCAGGGATGTGCTCACTAATGTATGAAGTGTGTGTTAATGCACTATTTACAGTCATCGAAGCCATCCTCCAGAAAGCATCCACTGCATTGTTTTCACATTCTGCTGCAGTAGGGCAGGATTCATAGTCCAGTCCTGTCAGGAAGCATGTGAGATGTACTGTTAAAGACATAATAATGGCTACAAAAAGTGACCTCAGAAAGCAACTACATACAAGATAGTCTGAAATAACACAGGAAACTGTTAACTGTTTTATTTTTTTCTTAGTATTTTCCATTCTGTGCAGTTAACATTATCAGTGACATGCTGTGGACTTGATAATTTGGCTGAAATGGCCATAACTCCACACCCGGGATGCAGACAGCTCTACATTCCATGGTTTCTCTCCTGTGCAGCATTGTTTCACTGTGTGCTTTCCTTAAGTATTCACACAAAACAGGAGAGAAGACAGTGGAGCTACCCGATTCTTAATTTTTAAGCAAAATTAAATCCTCCAAAACACAGCAGTCTGTCTCCATTACAGTTTTACAGGCAAGCATATAATATAGCACTCGCTGTCTTCTTACCAGTGCTGTTTTCCTGCCCACACCAGTTTAGAAAATCTCCAAAGAAGCCAAATAGAGTGTCACCAAGAGTCATGTAGCGACGAGCTCTGTTTGAAAAGCTGTTGACTAGCAGCTGATTATTTTCCCAGAAGAGAGACTAAATTAAAAAGGAAAACAAAATACAGAAGAAATGAACCACCACTTGGGTGCAGACACAAGTTTATGTGGTGCTGAAAACGTTTTAAAATATATTTTGGTATTTATTTCAAAATCAAGCTAAGAATCAGGAATGTTAGCTACCTATTTATAGGAACAAACTTAATTCTTACAGTGGTGTTAATTCTGATCACTAGAGGCTTCAGGGGTGTTTCTACCATACTCAGACTGGAATCGCATCTATACTAAATATAATGAGGCCTAGCTTTGCTTTCTTCATCAGATATTTAGGGAAAGGAAGAAAAAGAGGAGGCATTCATAAGCCAGATACAGCTTAGAAAATTGTCTCATATTTCTATGCTGGCTTATGGTGTGAAAAAAAATTGTATGTTACACTGCTACTTTCATGTTTGCAAAATGTTCTCATTAATGAATCTACACAGTCAGTAGCATTTGTTGGTTTAGCATGTGTCACCTAGAGATAAGGAACAGTTATGTCAGCAGAAACACTGCTTTGTGTTACAACCTTTTAAAGAAGGCTAAAACATACATTTTGATGGGATCCTACAGCACCCTATCTCATTTCTGTTTATATGTTTAACATTTTTAACATGACAGAGTTGAATATTCAGCGCCCTGGGATTTGGTGTGTAAGCAGAAGGAGCAGGCACAGCCATTGCAAGCAGAGCATCTAGCATGAGGAAAAGTAGCTGTGCAAGGTCAGGGACTGCAACAGAACTACTGGCACAGCAGGAAAAACAGGAGACATTTGTAACATGGGAAAGGAGTAACAGAAAAGGAAGACACACAAATACCAGGCTTTCACTGCAAAAACAGTGAGGAAGAGGAAATGTTAACACAATCAACCACTGCAGACACAGGGAGAGGCTGGTACAGAAGAAGGAAGAGACAAAGGACACCAGAACCCCTGGGGAGAGGACTGATGGGGGATCAAGGTCTCCTGCACAGGGGAAGGGAATTGTAAGGTAGTACAGAGGAATATGAAGATTACTGCTGAAGTTACTGCTTACAAGAAATGCAGATAAATGCACTGCACTCAGCTCCAGTTTAGTTTATAAGCTGCAGGTGGGCCAAAATAATGAATTATCAGCCACAGAATGACTTCTAGTCTGTTCTGAATGACTGTGATGGGAAATCTGCTAGATGTCACTGGACTGTTATCATAACATTAATAATCATTACCTTGCCAGCGGGAATTGCGTGCAATGACAGTTTGAAAAATAATTCAAAGTCTTGAGGTAGAATGTTGCAAGGATCCTTGTTAATAAAAGCATTTCTAAAGGCTTCCCATAACTCTGAACAGTTCTTCTCACTGCAATTGTCAAAACAAATAGAAGAACTGGTTTGTTTTTATTTTTTTTCCAAAGCAGAACAAGAAAGTGATTTGTTCCCCATCTCTTTCAATCCACAAAGTAAATCCCTCACAAGATTAAGACAGAAAATTTGCAACCAAGGAATAGCATGTATCTCATTTTTCTCCTCCTTACTGCAGCACCTCTCCAAAGAAACTATGAAGAAGTAAAATGCAATAAAATTAGTTGGATTTACAGTGTGGAATTAGACATACATACATTTCAAAACATACCCTGTAAAGTCTTCACAGTGAGCTATGTATCCAGCTTGGTAGAAAGGCTAAAAGAACCAAACAGCTTTCTCAGAAATCTTAGGGATTCAAAAAGCCACTTCTGTTAAAGCACAGCTAAATATGCAAAGCTACTGAATGTAAAAATTACTCCTCAAATGTCAGATTCCAGTGCAGGAGTTACTAACAGTTTCGATGATAGAAAAATGGTTTCAACAAAGAACATCTTCAGTGTAAGCAGATTCGAGGATGATGCAGCTTTAACTTCTGGAATGAGCACAGAGGCTGTGTGGGACATGTACTGTCACTGTGCAGTAGCTGCAAGAGTACTGTTAGGATTCAGCATTTAAATTGCTCATGAAGAGGTGGGCTGAAAAAAGACACAAGGCTGTGCATTTATTTCCCTTCTGCCTGCTCTGCTTTGGGGACAATAAGCTCTCGCAGAAGGACAGGGCCAGCCAGCCAGGGATGGAAGCATCCTAAATCTCTGGATTTGCATGAGCTCATCTGCGAAAGCTCTGGACCTGCATGAAGTAATTAAAAAGTGAATTGCTGCTTTCATCACTTTCCCATGGTACCTTCCTCACTTACGCTGTGACAATGTCTATGCTGGGAGCACTGCTCAGCAGAAAAATGTACTTCACATGCACCAAGCGACCCCAGTGTGAGTGGCTGTAATTATGAAGCTTGAATAAAAGTAGTCTCTAAAAGTAAACTAAACCTAGCCATTAGAGTGTTTAGTTCATTTAATGTTATCCATATACAGAGGGGTTTCTCTTGGTGCTTCTCCTCATGAGATTCTTTAAGCAGCTGCTTTGAGATGCAAAGATTCTAGATTATTTAAAGTTAGAGGAGCCAGCTTCCATGCAGGAAAAAGAACTTTGGTCCCATGCAAAGAACTGGTCATGCTTCCAACATCTTTTTAAAAACTAACGTACCTTAAGCAATTATGAGACCTTGACCTGAGAATTTTCAGTGATGCAATATGACCCTTGGTCAGTGGTTCCAATGATTAAACAGCTTACTTGATAAAAGGATTTGCACCCTATTTCTAACTTTAAGCTGTTAAACTTTAGCTCCTGACAACTGTATATATTTGTGTCTTGTTTTGCAGAAGAGGTGAGTGCTGTCAGCCCTCACTTCTTCGTGTTAGTGCTTGTAAATTATCATCAGCTGAACTCTTAACATCTTGACAGTTGAAACCAGCAGTAATTTTCTGCTTAATTCACTTGCATTTTTCACTTCATGTCTTCTCATCTCAGGTTTGAACAGCTTGTAAATCAAAAAGATTATTCTTCTCTGTTAACTCAAAATTTCTTAGTTGGCAAAAATACTTCATAAACGACAGAGTGGGGAAGGACTGTAGTTCAGGACAGTTCTTCTCAATCTTAATAGACAAAAATAAGATGTATTACATATAATATAATATTTTATATTTTTAATATTATTATATATATTTTATTTATTTATCTTATTTTATTTATTTATATTTTATCTATATTATTATAATATTTTTTCCCCAAAAGCTTTTATTACATGCTATCTGTACAAAAATATGGCAGCTAACATAAGAGTTGTGTTTGTGTAATACAGCATACTACCATTAAACAACTTCAAATACGATTTTCGTTCAAATTTCTCACTTCTGCATTTTGTAAAATACCTCTTTTGCAATTCTGTATGTTCTCTCTTAATGCAAGGTTCTTCTTGCGTTTTCTATAAGCATTTTTATGTTTTAATTGTTTTGCAGTGTAAAGACATGTTTTGCCAGATTCTTTTCTGTTAGTGAAGTATTTTTGAAAATTATTCTGAAGCAAAAGCTATCCAGGTGGCTACGCCTCTGTAAAAGCTAGCCTGGGGGCAATTGAGAGGCAGACAATGAACAAAAAGGATTATAAATAATTAGAATATCTGGCTTGCAGCTGTGCAATATGAAATTTCAATTTCATTTGTGTTACAGTATTTTCTCATAGACCTAAGGGAACGAGAATAAAAATATATTATGATATTACATGAAATAAATTGTGCAGCTGCTCTTTTTATACTGCCTATTTGGTCCTTAATTCAGGAAAGCAATGCTAATGTCCAACCTTACTTTAAACTGTTCAGATTAAGAATAATTCAATGTGTTCAACTTTATGCAGCAAAAATGTCACAAAACTGTAATATATAAATACTTTCTATACCACTGTAGTTACATGGTAAAGCAAACATTTCCACAGTAACCATCCTTTATGTTGCTCATTTTAGAGTATTCTGATATATTAGTTAATTCCTGCTTCTGCTAGAAATGAAATGGCATCTCTTAACCCTCGCAAGATAAGACTTGTCTAGTTACCTACATAATTTTTAATTAACATGATTTTGTAGCTTATATTATGTTGTAGTGGTGTAGGAACATATAGTTAAAGCTTACTGATGCTATCCACTGTGATGCATTTATACATTTGCCACACTGGAGCTGTTTTGACAGAATTTTAGTACAGCATTCTCTGCATTAGGATGAGGTTTTATTTCCTATGGAACTTCAAAAAAAAAAAAAAAAAGGTTCTGATATGTTAAGAAAAATGTTGCTTTGCCTTTGTTAAATATCATAAGTATGTTTTCAAGACAGGTCCTGAATCTTCCTGTTTTGCAGCAGGAACTGAAAAAGTGAAGCTGGGGGAAGGTGGTGGTGTTTTCCACTATTTTGCAACTTATTGAATTCTGCACAAGACCACAATTCGATACTGCAGAAATCCAGACAGCTTCCTTCTGCAAATACCTTCAAACTATCAGGAGCAATTCTGGACTGAATTCAAAGCGACTGTCCTTCAGACATTTCTCCTTTTCACTAAAGCCGAAACAATGTAAAGAAGAAAGAAAACGTGGTCATTTTAGGCGAGGGTATTTCCTCCAATTTTGTGTAATTGACACAGACAATGAAAACTCATGGTAATAGTACTTCACTGAGTTGATTACTACTTGATTTTTCACCTGGATGAGCTAAGCAGTTTATATCAGCAGCACAGGATATCTGTGATGTGGTCTTCACCCTCTTACTTGACATGACCTACAATACACACAGAGTAATGCCAGTCTTTCCAGGAGCGCTGACAGATTTGGTGCTTTAGAAACATCCCCAGAACTTCTGTGCAGTGTTCTTTTTATAGAACACCCTTACTAGGGGAAAAAAGTTGAAGCATTAAAAATACTGCCTTATTTACACTACTGGTATTATTGCAACATCCATCAAAGTTCAATTTCTGTTTCCAGAAAGCTACACGTTTCGGTTTCAATCGGATTACTTTCATGGCTAAGAGTCATCATACTTTTGATTAATGACCAATTTGTACAGAAGACAAACACTATTCCAGAAACATGCAATTACTTACCCAACAGCAGGATTCACAATTCTAATATAGTCATAACACCTTCCAACGGTTATGCTTTCCAGGTTTTGTGTTGTACCTTCACCTTTCCATTTTCTTCCTTGCACTTCTGAAAAGTTGTTCATAAACAGAATGGAGCCTAGTAAGAAAGACAGAAAAAGGTTCTTCATCATGAATTCTCTACAATCCAAGTTCTTAAAAGAAAAAAAAAAAAAAGACAAAAACGACCAGATTAAATTATACAAGTTAAAGGGAAACCAATTAATATCTTCAATAGTAGCTGTAGCTCTGTACACAGCAGACAAAGTTGGACAGAAACCTGAACCTTGCCAGACAATGTAATCATACTGTTTCCTGAAATGACCGCAACCAGGGACACATCACTTCCTTCTATCTGAAAGTCCTCTACTTCAGGAAAACGAGACTTTTATGGTTCTGATGTTGCCACCTGGTGATAACTGGGAAGAATTACAATATAGTTTAGTATTCAGTGTACTTACTATTCAGCATTTACAACGTAAGTATTTACAATGCCTTCAGTTTGCTTAATTGCCACACTGCAGATTCCTAGAACTCACAAGTGCTTGCAAGCAGCACATTCTAGAGTGGTCTCATTTAGTTTCAAGAAAGGGCTGCACTTTTTTCATGGCTTAGGTAAAAATAGATGCTGAAATACATACGAAGAACGAAGAAATTGAAATACATAGGTGCTGATCTCATAACCCAAATTCTCGTGTGATCTTGGGTCATGCATATGGATATCATTACTGACTTCCTTTTCCGCCTTTCCACTGGGTACTGACAGTAAAATGTTGATGTGATGATGTGTGATTTAAAGTTCTCTTTGTAAACAAAACCAGGCAGGATTATGAGAGCCAGAAAGGCTTAAGGCACTTCTGTGCATGGAAGAAATATCTTCAACTTCTGTTCGCTTTTATTTTGCCTCCAAATTCTTTTCCCTCGAGAATTCTGCTAGACTGTCAAATGGTATGAATTAATGCACTCCTCAGTGCAAATATTTCCCTCTTTAAAATAATTTATAATTTTTTCAGCTTCAGAGAAATTTTTGTATGGATTCACATTTCTGGGAAATGTGGCCTTTCTTTCTGCTGAGCAGTTTCCACATCTCAGCGAATTTTATTTCTGTATTTATTGATATTGTGCTAGATATATGTGCTGTGTATCTGTACTATGTAAATATACTAACATACATACACAACAGTACTCACACAATATATTATATTGAAGGTAAAATCCTACTTGTCATCAAGTAAATTGCTACTTGTGCATTTATCCTGTAAGTGCAGCTACATTTTGGCTTACTATCTGCAGCAAATTCTTTAGGAAAGCCATATTAGCCCAGTCATAGATGTGCAGTATTGGGCTTAGTATGGTGGAGACACTGCAAATGCTGTGCTTCAGTTACTTCTTCAAGGCTTTTTCTTCCTATTTCCCTTTCATAGTCTCTAAAGGATGACCTCTTGACAGGTCACTAGCACACTAATCACATGATTTCAAGTCTACTGCTTTGGGTTAGGATTAGACAGTGAAACCACCCACAGAAGTCAAGGAAAAAAATTTAACATGGACTTCACTTTGGACATATTTTGCCTAATTATTTTGGGAATAAGAGATACTGTAGGTATCACTGATGAGATCTTCTATATAGAAGTGGGATTTCTGGCATCAAGATCACAACTCCTGCTTAAAAATATATACAGTGTAATTTTAACAGATGGAGACAGAGTTTTGGAATTGCTTTTCTTTCTGGACACACCAGTTTAGAACTCACAAATTACATGAAGAAAATGGGGGGGTTTCTCAGCGATGTTCTGCAAAAAAAGAATGTTTTTCAGAATGCTGCACAAACTGACTGAACATGACAGAGGGAATGCAAACGGGTACAGTAATTGCTGGGATCCCCACCTCATTGCCTGCCAAGCTTTCTGTCCTCGTTGACCCCTTGGAAAAATACACCGTGGCTGGATGGACCTCTGATCTGACTTGGCAGAGCCACTTCACACGTTCTTAGCTTTGATTTAAATCCTTCATGTGATGGCTGATCTAATAGGCCTCCAGGGTCATTGTTCCCATGGTTAGATAGCCTTAGGAGTCATACCTCTGGCCTGAACTTGTTTTTCTTCAGCTTCCAGTCACTGAATCTCATTATGTCTTCTTCTATTATGTTAATGAAAAATCCAGCCTCAGAACTATATTCTGTGTAAACACTTGTAGACAATGACCAACTCTTCCATTAAACTTGACCATGAAAAATATAACATTTAAATCTCATTATCAGGCAGTTTCTCATGTACCATTGCACTTCAGTGCCATGAACTGTCTGTCCACCTTGCCCCCCAAGCTCCAGCAGTTCACAGTGGCTGTGGACCACCTGCCCCTTGCTCTTTCCCTCTCTCCTAGAGAAGTCTGCCCATGAAGCAGTCATCAAAATTTGAAGCACATCTGCACTGGAGATACTCTAGTTCATAAAGCAAATATTTCTTCAGACTACCATGAAATTCAGCATGTTTATGTTCTGACAGCCTGGAAGATGAGGATGGACACGTTCTCTCTTGTTATTTCTGCAACATGTGAGCAGTAACTTCCAGCAGATGGAAGATTAACAGGTGGGAGCATTAATCCTCTGCTATTACTGAGGCATGAACTGCTGGCAGAAGAACCCCAGTTCTGTGTGATCTCATGTTTTAGGCTTTGAAATATGACTTTGGAAATGCCCATATTAGCAAGCAATATGCTTCACAAAACGCTGTTTCTTGAGGGTTTGCATTTTTGGTTCATAAATTCAACCTAGAGCAGTAACCCCAAAGTCTGCCCTGTGCCCCTGTATGCGATACTCCTCTATGCAAGAAATGTGCCTACCAGACCCAAAAGTAGAGCTCTGTGTACTAGCCAGGGAGAAATACAGCTGTGTGCTGGGTGGCTAGTTGTGTAATACCTCTGTTTTGCCTTCCTTCCCTTCTCTTGTGTAACTGCTATTTTCTCAGAGGCTTGCATAAAGCTAATCTTCCAAAATTTGTACACCTTTGTCAAATACGATTAAATAGGTCAACATGTTCGAAAGTTCTTGAAGCGGAAAGGATGAATAGAAAAGGCAACACCCAACACTGCAATTGCTTAAAGATCATTTCCTCAGATAAAGAACTGAAGGGATTATCGCGTTGGGCGATCGAGATAACCCAGATCACCTGCCCTCTCTTCTCCTTTCGTTACCTCCTGATTTTACAATCGATGACTTCACACTCTGTTCCCAATAGCTGGCACACTGACGCGTACTGGGCTAAAACGCAGGCGTGCTTTCACCCAAAAGATTTCAATTTACGGACGGTTCATTGGTTCCATTAGCAGTTCGCTGCTCGCTTGGCACAGCCACGGCAGCCCGGCCGGGACGCACCGCGCTCTTCACACGCACTGCCTCACCCGCCCACCCCCTCTCCCTTCCTCACGCATCGTCTCAGCACCTGTTCATTCTTCAGGAGTGAGAAGCCAGCTTTATTTCGTGTAAACGCACAACGATTTTTTATTTAACAGTAGATTTAAGGAGCGCCGATTGCAGCACGTGAGACGCGCGCCAGGCTCCCGAGCTAGCCGCCACACGGCGCGCCCGCGCAGCCCGGCAGCACTTGGAGCCGCTTCCACAGCTCTGGTCAACCGCTGTGCGCACAGCAGGTCTGGCTGGAAACACAGACCGGTCGCTTTGCCTTCAAGCGCAGCTGGCGCCAGCCAGGCCCCGCAGCCGAACGACGAGGAACTCGCCGCGCGGGGACAAAACCGACCCGCCCCGAAGCGGGGTATGAAGCAACGCCTCGCCTTCGAAGCAGCCGCCGCCTCTCACCGCGCACGCGCGTAGCGCAGCCGCCAGCAACCGCGCCGGAGCTGGCGGGGCGGCTGCGGTCACGTGGCGCCAGGCCCGGCGGGGCGCCCTCCGCGCAGGCGCGGGGCGGATGTTAGCGCCGCCGTTAGTGCCGCCAGCGCCCGGGCTCTATGGGGAGAACATGGCTCCCTTCCCTGAGGAGGTGGACGTCTTCTCGGCTCCGCACTGGCGGATGAAGCAGCTCGTGGGGCTTTACTGCGACAAGGTAGAGAGCGGGCGGGCCGGGAGCGGCGGCGGCCTTTAGCCCGCTCCTTGGAGGGGCAGATTGAGCGAGTGCGCAGCTGTCAGCGCGCCGGCCCCGCTGCGCCTGTAAGGGGGAGCGGCCGCGGGCTGCCCTGGGCTGCCCCTCCTCCGCGCTCCGCAGCGCCCACCGCCTGCCGCGCCGCGGGCCGTGCTGTGTGGCTTGGAGGGGCCCGGCCGTGGGGCGGGGGCGGCCGCCCTGTGCGTGTCCGTGTGTGTGCGTGTCCGTGTGTCCGTGAGCGCGCCCACCGGCAGCCGGCACGCAGCGCTTCGTTTCTATGGGTCTTTAATCTACGAGTGGCTGAGGATGCCCGGGCAGCGCCGTGTGCGTGCTCCTGGTTTCACTGCGCGCACAAAGCATCGAGGCGGCTGGCAGCAGCCCAGTGCGTCACCTACAAGGCGAACTTCGCGTGTAATGGGAGCTTCGGGCGGTACTTGCGAGCCCGCGGTCCCGCCTGCAGGAGCGGTGCCTCCATCGCAGGCCGGCAGCTGTTCAGTGTGGTTTCAAGTGCCGGGCAGCGTTTGGGATGAAGGTGAGGCTACGTGGAGGCAGCCCGCTGCCGCAGCGGGGTGAGCAGGCCTCGCCTCCTCCCGCAGTGCTCCACGTGTGCCGCGCCGGGCTTCCGCGTGGCCCTCCGTTGGGCTCCTTCGCTGAGTGCCGGCAGCTTTCTGCTCTGCTGGCTGAGCTGCGGGGAAGGCCGGGCGAGCAGTTCGACTTTGCCTTTTTGCTCTGAGCGCCGCTGAGTTTTGTGGGTTTTTTTGTTTGTTTTTGTGTCTGCCTGAAAGTTTATGCTGCTGTACCGTAGTAGCGTTTAGACAAGGAAGCAGACACTTAATATACAAATTATCATAGCAAAGTGCAAGGTTTTGCACTTGGGCCGGAGGAATCGCAGGCATCCATACAGATTGGAAGGAGCGATCCTTGAGTGCAGCCCTGTGAAGGACCTGGGGATCCTGGTGGATGAAAAACTTAACATGAGCCAGCAATGTGCCCTTGCAGCTCGAAAGGCAAATGGGATCCTGGGCTCCATCAAAAGAGGGGTGGCCAGCAGGGACAGGGAGGTGATTGTCCCCCTCTACTTGGCTCTTGTGAGGCCCCATCTGGAGTGCTGTGTCCAGATCTCGTGCCTCCAGTAGAAGAAAGTCAGGGAGCTGTGGGAGAGGATCCAGAGGAGAGCCACGAAGGCGATCAGGGGACTGGAGCCCCTCC